TGAGCAGACCACGGGAAGATGAGGCCATGTTCTGTAGCTGAAACGGGAAGAAGAGGCCACGTTTTTTTTGGTTGCTGAGTGGTTGCCGAGAGGGTTGGATACAGAGTAATTTACAGATTGTTTCAGAATGACAAGTTCAGAGGTTTCAGTCTTGGTTTGCCTCCGCCTCTGCATGGATTATATTGACACTGACGACGCCGCCGACACGCCGCTCTGTCGACTCACGTGCCTCGCCGCGTCTCCGCCTCACCTTATGTGGCTCGACGCTATTCTGATCGGGCACGACTTTTAATGAAGTGGGCGCGCTTTGAGGGCGCAACTTTTGATGGCACGCCTTTTTTATGGACTTGCGCACGCATTTTGATGGCACGTCTTTTAGGATTTGGGCACGCCTTTTGATGGCACGCCTTTTGAATAAGATTGGGCTAGACCTTTTGAGGGTGGACTTTTTAGTTGGTCCGACAAGACTCTGTAAACTGTCCCGACAATTGATTCGGTTGCTCCTTCAAGGCGTCCGACAAACTCAGTAAACTGTCCCGACATTGATTCCGGTTCGCTCCTTCAAAAGGGTCCGACAAGACTCTGGAAAACTGTCCCGACATTTGATTCCGGTTAGTTCTACAAAGGGTCAGGCAAGACTCTGTAAACTGTCACGAACAACTGTTACAACGAGTGTCCTTTCCAGACGTCCGCATACACCGTAAAACTGTCCTCACATGGTTCCGTGTCTACAAGTCCAGCCAAACTCTGTAACACTGTCACACGACTGTCACAACATGTGTCTGCTACAACGGTCCGACTTGACCCATAACTGTCTTCTTACATCGGTCTTGACACCGCACATGCTTAACGTTAGTGATCACTCACATACGTGTCCATGCACACTACTGTCCTCACGTTATGACACCCCCTACAGTGTCCTCTACAACGTTATACACCCCTCCATGCTTTCACCAATGGTCTGACACGGACCATACAGTGATCTCTTATCCTGCTTTCTTTTTGTATTCGCTATTTTTCTTGTTTTGTACTCTCTCCAAACTCAAGTTGGCTTAGTTCCTATCCCCCTTGAGTTTGCGGGGGGCTTGTTAACACCACCTACTGTCCACCATACTTCACCCACTTTAAACCTAGCCTCACTAAAACCTAACCCAACTACCACCACTACCACCCACCTACTGCCACATAAACTTAAACCCACTACACCACTACCACCACCTCCACTTCACCTTACTCCTTACCTACTACACTCACCCTCATTCTATTATAGGAATCATAGAACTCACTTGATACATATCAATAATCAATCATAATACATCACAATTATTCTCTCTACATCAATTATTATTTTACAACCCAAATTAAGATTATAGAAATCAATATATTTCTAATTAGTTTAACCAATATTTCACAAATGTTTATCATTTCAAAACATTTTCCAGCCTGCATACAGCTAGTTTTCCAGCGGCCTTTAATACGATAGATGGATATGGTTCCTACATTACCGTTCTTTATTAGTAAAATGTCATAAATATTTGACTGTTTCTTCTGAATCATTTCAGCGAAGTATGAGCTGAATGTGTAAGAAGAAAACCAAACAAACTGACAAGCAAAATTAGCAAGGAAAAGACAGATTTCACAAATTCTAGCACACAAGCTTTTAAAGACAGACATCTGATTCTTATAGATTTCAAGGTAAAAAAAAAAAAAAAATTAAACAAAAAAAAAAAGGAGGAAAGCAAACTTATTTTTTACTGGAGTTAGTTTTTCTTTGAGGTTCCATAATATGAATATTGAAATTGCATGTATAGAATTACAAAAGTTAATAATAGGAATCTAAAAACCATCAGTAATGAAGGAAATAAGTATTGGGATTCCAGTTCATAGGTATGTGGAACTCAATGCAGTAAATCTTTTATTTTCTATTAGTTATTTGGTCTTGATTATCTCCTCCAAATAACAGGTATGTTGAAAATGCAGTTCCCTACGGATGATCATTCATCAAAGTCTCTAAAAGATACATTGGAAGTACTTGGATTCTCTAAGTTTAGAACTATTTTAAAGGTGTATTAAATTCTTCACTTAGGCAGTAGAATGTGCATTTTCAAGATTGTGTTTACCGCCATAATCTTAATATTGAAGGAAAGATTATTGATGAATATTAAAGATTACTACTGCATTCCTATGTCACATACCAGATTAATGAGACTGAAACTACATATCTACATGATGACACTTAACTGATGGTTTTAAGATCCTATTATTGACTTTGTAATTATACATGCAAATTTCAATATTCAAATTATTGGAACCTCAAGCAGAAAAACTAACCGTAAAATAAGTTGCTTTTCTCCTTTTTTTTTTGTTTAATATTTTTTTTTTTTTTACTTTGAAACTTAAGAATCAGATATCTTGTCTTAAAAACTTTGCGTTGTAGAATTTGTGAAATTGGTCTTTCCTTCTAATTTTGGCTTGTCAGTTGTTTGTTTTCTTCTTACACATTCAGTCATACTTGCCTGAATGATCAGAAGAAACAGTCAAATATTTATGACAATTTTACTAATAAGAACGGTATGTAGGAAATCCCATTATCCATCTATCTCATTAAATGAAGGCCAGCTGGGAAACTAAGCTGTATGCAGCTGGAAATGTTTTGAAATAGATAAAACATTTGTGAAAATTGGTTAAACTTAATTAAAATATATTGTTTCGTAATATCTTAATATTGGTTGGTAAAAATAAATTGATAGAGAGATAATTGTATGTATTATGATTTTGTTATTGTATATTTATTACAATGATTCATGATTCCATATATATAGAAGAGGGTGGAGTGATGTAGTAGGTAAGGAGTAGGTGAAGTGGATGGTGTAGTGGTGTTAGTGGGTTAGGTTTAGTGTGGAGTAGGTGGAGGTGGTAGTGGTGTAGTGGGTTAGGTTTAGTAGAGTAGGTTAAGTGGGTGAAGTAGGTGGAGAGTAGGTGGATTTTAACAGCCCGCCCCGCAAACATCAAGGGGATAGGAACTAACCAACTTGAGTTTTGGAGAGAGTAACAAAACAAGAAAATACATAAAAATAAAGAGGATAAGAGACCTGTATGGTCGTGTCAGACCATTGGTGAAGACACTGATGGTGGTGTCATAACGTTGTAGAGGACCTGTATGGGGTGTCATAACCATGTAGAGGACACTGTATGGTGGTGTCAAACGGTGTAGAAGACACTGGATGGCCGGTGTACAGACCGATGTAGAAGACAGTTTATGGGGTCATGTCGGACCGTTGTAGAGACACTGTGTGGTCGTGTTCAGACCGATGTAGAAGACAGTTTATGGGTCATGTCGGACGCGATGTAGAAGACAGTTTACGGGTCATGTCGGACCGTTTGTAACAGACACTGTTGTGACAGTTGTATGTGACAGTTTACGGAGTCTTGCTGGACCCTTGAGAAACTAAACCGGAATCAATGCGGGACAGTCTAGAGTCTTGTCGGACCTTGAAGAGCGAACCGAATCAATTGTCGGGACAGTTTACGAGTCTGTCGGACCCTTGAAGGAGCTAACCGGAATCAATGTCGGGACAGTTAAGAGTCTTGTCGGACCACTAAAAAGTCGCCACCCTCAAAAGGTGTGCCAATCTTTCAAAAAGGCGTGCCATCAAAAGGCGGTGCCCAATCCATAAAAGACGTGCCATCAAATGAGTGCCCAATCCATAAAAGGCGTGCCATCAAAAGTTGCGCCCTCAAAAGGCGCGCCCACTTCATAAAGTCGTGCCCGACAGAAAGCGTCGAGCCATCAAAAGGTGAGCCGGACGCGGCGAGCACGTGAGCGACAGAGCGGCGTGTCGGCCGCGTCGTCAGTGTCAATATAAACCAGATGCAGAGGCGGAGAAACCAAACCAGACTGAAACCGTCTGAACTGTCATGTCTTGAAACAATCTGTAAATACTCTGTAATCCAACCCTTCTCGAAACACTCAGCAACCCAAAAAAACGTGCCTTCTTCCCGTTCAGCTACCCAGAACCATGGCTCATCATTCCCGTGGTCTGCTCACTCTCTTCCCGACCTCAACGAGTCAACAGGAGAGATAACAGGTGCGGTGAGCCGTGAACCTCAACCAAACACCCTCTGGTTTTGCTCCGTTGAACTTTCCGATGCGGTCTGTGAGCAAAAAATGGCGGTGCAAAACTGATATTGAGGCCAATCAGTATACTTGAAGTCATGGTGGAACCATGACTGCGGTCACAAAACTTGTCGCACGGCGCAGAGTAGGACAATAAGGTGCAAGCAGTTAAACGCCCAAACTGGCTCTGCTCCAACGCATGTATAAGGATGCGCGAGCAGAGATAAGTGTGCTAAAGGCGGAAAACAAGGAGCTGAAGCGGAAGGCCACCGTTATGTTCCGATTTGGAGGTCCGCCATATGCTGCAGTGGAGGAGCAGGGAGTTGTGATCGTGCCCAGTGGAGTGGGAAACACGGAGGCAACACCGTCAAGGGCCGCCCAGGACGGAGGCAAGAAGAAGAGACCGGCGGCAGAGTAGAGAAGAAAAATCCCGCCTGTGGATGTGGTTGTTTTGTTTTGTTATTGTTGTTGTTTTTTTTTTTGGTGTAAAATTCTGATCGGGGTTGATCCCCGGCATGAAGAAATGACAAGTTTGTGGAATTTATTTATTTATTTATTTTTTTTGGTGGTGTTATTTTGTGTTGTTGTTTTGTTTAATAATAAAAATAAAATAAAATAAAAAATAGATAAAAAAATATTTTTGGATGGGTGATTTGAGAAAGATCGGTGTGAGGTGGATGATGGATGTTTCAAAATAAAGTTGGGGGTAGTGCCTCTGCAAAAGATATATTATTATAGAGTGGGTATTTGAAAGAGATTAAAAGTGATTTGGAGAAAATAAATAAAAAATAAGTGATTTTGAAATCAAACGGAGGAGAGAGAGGGGACAAGCCCATGTGATAAGGTGGAGAGAGAGGGTGTTGGGTTTATTAAAAAAAAAAATGTGGGTTTGAAAGTGGAAATATGAGAGAGAGAGAGAGAGATTCGGAGATGAGGCTGTAGGTGGTGGTTCGTCCTGCGGCACCACTGATCGATGTCAATGTTGATGTCAGTCCAGCAGTAGTTGGAAATCATGAAATTCTTTTGAACCCATCTTAATCGCCTTCGACTGTATGCATCAAGTTCCTGGTTCTGCCATGTCCTGCCTGAGACCGAAGAAGTGCATGAACCAGTACAGGTTTGGACATTGAAGCCGCGGTAGTATGCTGTGAATGGTGCTTTTGTCCAGTCAGCTTTCACTAGCCCGCCTCTCGTGGCCCAATCATCAGCATTCCAGAGGCTAGAGTAGATCTTCATGGGTTGGTTTTTAGGGAAAGGGACACCAATTGATTCACCATTCTTGAATACCCTTATGGGAGTGTTATCCACCAAGAAAATGATTTGCTGGGAGGTCCAGACAATGGAGTAGGTGTGACAATTTCTGGTAGGGTCAAACCAGAGATAGAACTGTTGCTCTCTATTTCCTTTCCCTTGAGTGAACACATTAGTATGAACAATGTAAGGGTCACCACTAAGGTTTCCCAAAAACTCAAAGTCAATCTCATCATGTGTTGGCCCTTGAGAAGACAAGTAGTAGGAAGTAACAGTGCCAGCAGAGTTGCCTGCAACAAGTTTGAGCTGCATATCAATTCTCCCAAACAGATACTCTTTCTTTGATATAAATCCAGAGCCAGAGGTCTTGTCTAGAGACAGAGACAGAAGCTGACCTCCACTGAATATCTTTGCCCTTTGATCACCCCATGTTAGACTACCCAACAAGAGTTTAAATGGAAAGACCATTTTAGAAGGTAAGAGAGAGAACAAGAGAGATTTTTGAATTGAGTAAAGGTGGTTCTGGTGGTGGTGCGGCCTCATACGCCTGTTTCCGCCGCCGTTGATGGCGAAGAACTCGAAGCTATGTGTAGAAAATTCCAGCGGGCAGCGAAGGCAAAGTTGTCGGCCGGCTGCCTGCCGGTGAGAAAGAAATACAGGCCTAAATCTTATAGCTCTGATACCATGTAAAAATAAATTGATAGAGAGAGAATAAATTGTATGTATTATGATTGATTTTTATTGATAATTGATATGTTAATTTCTATTACAATGATTCATGATTCCTATATATAGAAGAGGGTGAGTGTGTAGTAGGTAAGGAGTAGGTGAAGTGGAGGTGGTAGTGGTGTAGTGGGTTAGGCTTAGTGGAGTAGGTTTAAGTGGGTGAAGTAGGTGGAGGTGGTAGTGGTGTAGTGGGTTAGGTTTAGTGGAGTAGGTTTAAGTGGGTGAAGTAGGTGGAGAGTAGGTGGATTTTAACATTGGTTTATTGACCAGAAAGGCAGAAAACAATTCTTATCATCAAAGCATCCTCCAGAATCTCTCTTTTATAGGATCACAACATCAAAACCCATTTAATTTGATAATTTGACAATTTGAGTGAGTTTTGTGCTATTTTCTATCTCTAAAATGCTTTTGACTTGTACCATGTCACCAGGAGCACATGTAAAATCAATTTATATATTTTTGTGGTCCTTCAGATAGTATTTGCCTGTGTCAATTAATATTCTTAAAGAGTATGCAGACATCAAATTGTCAAATACGAGCATTGTCCGTCTTAATGTGGTTCGCAATTGGAAAATATCCATTAATTTCTTTTAGGAGATTAGTTGCCATTGACTGGACATAAGATTTTGTTTCTATCTTTCTAATGCTTGTGTTTGAATTTGATCAACAGCATGGTGGCTGATGTCCATCGCACGTTACTTTATGGTGGTATCTTTTTGTACCCTGCTGATAAGAAAAGCCCCAATGGAAAACTGAGGTATGCCATGTACTTCATATAGAGTTTTCTGTAGTTGAAAAATAAAATAAGAATTAATTGGTGACTAAATTTGATGCAAATCATGATATAGGGTTCTCTATGAAGTCTTCCCAATGTCATTCCTGATGGAACAAGCTGGAGGTCAGGCATTTACGGGCAAGCAACGGGTAATGACTTAAATGAAATTTTTGGTCATTAATGAGACAATCACTTAGTGTGCTCTATCATGAAATTTAGTTGCAAATCATGATATATGGTGGTTCTCTATGCTTTGATTTTCAACTGTCATTGTGCTTTTTCATTGACACAGCACTCAGTCGTGTTAAATTAAATTTCTAATGGATGTGTTTTTCCCCCCCCCCCCCCCCCCCCCCCCCCCGCGCCCCAGTTTTTGGACTCAATTCAGAATAAACCTGAAAAAAAAATCAGACTGTACGGTTATTTGCCTAGTTCAGTTTATTTTTTCCATACATTCCCACCCTAACACTCCATTTTTTTCGGTGGAAAATGTTTTTTAGAGAATATTTTGTACATTTCCTAGCTCTTGGTATGATGAAAAATGAAAGTCGGTAGAAACGTAAAACGTTTTCCGTGGTCAAAGGAAACAAACTTATTTAGATAAAAACTTTTTTCGCTTTTGAAAGGTGAAAATATTTTTCAGACTAAAGTCTTACCAAGTACCACCACGACCACCGCTGCCGCTACCACCACCACTACCCCACCACGACCACCACCACTCCCCAGAGTCGCCACTGTTAATATAACCATTAGCATATTAGTTTCAAAGTCGCAATCAAACATAAGAAATTGTTTTTGGCCGAAACAAATGGAGCTTAAATCTCCTCACTCCAACATATTATTACTCACTCCGTCCCAAAATAATGGTCTCTTTTGGAGAATTTAACTTTTTTTGGTAGTACAATTATTGTACTTTAAAAAAAATGATTTTCAAAAATTACCCTTTGATAGTACATTTTTTGAGAAATATCAATGTCATAATTGTGCTTGTTATGTTGTTAATGAATTTAAAAGAAGGGCAAAATAGGAACTTTATATTATTTTTGTACTTGATTTTTGAGAATGGACTAATATTTTGGGACAATAAAAAATGAAACAAGGGACTAATTTTGAGTATTATTATTTGAAAAAAAGAAGAAGGTATAGCATTGCAAAAATCTCTTCACTAAACTGTGAAACAATAGTCTAATTGAATCGATTATCTTGGCAGGCACTTGACTTGGTTCCAAAGAAGATACACGAGCGATCTCCTATATTCATGGGTAGTTATGATGATGTTGAGGATGTCAAAGCACTCTATGCTGCTGAAGAGAACAAGTAACATGTGACTGCATTTCCATTTGGTGCTTGTGCAGATGATGTCGAGGATATTCTAGTGTTTCAACTTGGTAACTTATTATTTTTCTCTATTTAACAAGTCAAAACCATCCTGATTTTCCTTGTAATTGAATAATACAGTCATTGATGGAAATTTGGGGATGATGATTTCATGTTTCTTGATTATAGCTGATCAGTGAATGTTTGCAATGAACAAAAGAATTCAAGCATAAACACGACCATGTGCATAACTTGACATGAAAACATTATAATTTTCATAATATCTGTTTCATTTCTGTTGGCTTGTCACAACTTGGATAATTTCCTGGTTGAAAAGTTTTATTCTGTGAAATGTTTTGGTTCCTTTTGCCAGGACTTGACTAATCTTGTTTGGTAAATTGTAAAACTGAACATAGAGTTCTCTGCTGGGAAATGATTTTGTAGATCATACTTTTCTGTCAATTTCACAGCAACACTTACATATGCTTTCATGGATATCATGTCCTGTTTACCAAATATATACATTTTAGCATCATATGGACCCATTGTTTGTGTTGAAATTTGAATTTAAAAAAAAAAGGTTTTATGGTGTTTGTTTTGATGGATTAAGCTATGGGATTGGACCAATAGTCCATCCGGATTAATAGTCTATTATTTGGTTCAAATTTTTCGCAGCGGACCGGACTATTAGTTCCAAATTTGTTGGACTATTTGTATCCCATTGGAAGGGACACAAATGGGGGGATAAGGGGGATATGAGATTAGGTGGTGAAATGATCATTTTGATTCTCAACTATTTAATTAGGTATTATATTTAGTAAAATTTAATAAAATTTAAATGTTTCAATTTAAAAATAAAATTATTTTATTTTATTTTTATTGATGTTTTATTTATTGAATTTTTTAAAATAATTTTTTATGGACATTTTATTGATGTTTTATTTTAAAATTTTATTTAAAATTTATTTAATTTCATTGTTTAAATTTTAATAGATGTTTTATTTAATTTCATTATTTAATTATTATTATTTTTTAAAATAAATTTATTTACAATTTTAATTAAAAAAATAACATATATTTTTATTGATATTTTTATTTATTTAATTTTTAAAAAATAAATTTATTTAATTGTGTAAAAAACAAAATAAAATAAATTTTTATTTAATCTAGCTAAAAATAATTAAAATATTAAAAATATGTTTAATATTGTTATTAGTTAGTAAATAATTAAAAATGATAAAATAGTTATTTGAGCATTTATCTTTTTCTATAATATTCTAAACAAACATAAGATTCATATTTTATCCAACTAAATAGTCATTTTTTGACATCTAATCTCATGACTAAATAAACATGATATATAAATTCAGTCCAACCAAATAATTCGAAATAATATATTTTAGGACTAATATTCTGATAAATTCTAATCTTCCTTACCCAGTTCGCTAAATAAACACACCAAATAATATAGCCATTGGAGCAGAGGATTGCTATTTGGCAGAATGGGAGTGGACCAATTGCTTGTGCTTTGGTCAATGAGAAGACATCCATCTTAAGCTCTCATAACCTTTCTATTTTTTTCTTTATCGGTCACAAGGCCAAGTGGGTATTGTTCCAAGGGCATCGCTTTTGTCCAGTTCTTAATCGGGTTGGATCGTATTGTTGGGTCTATGAAAATTTATCACGGGTCTTGTTTTGATAATTTGAACCGTTAATGTGTAGAACTTGTCGAGTACTATATCCCTGTAAAAAATCACGTTAATCGGATATCGATAGTTACGTGATCAAATCAGTTTTGTATAAAAAAAAAATGAACGGTGAATAAATTAATGGCTGACAAAAATCTATTTTGATCGCATAGCTATTGATATCCGATCAACGTGATTTTTTACAGGAATATAGTACTCGACGAGTTCTACACATTGAACGGTTCAGATTATCAAAACGAGACCCGTGGTGGGCTTCCACGGGCCCAACAGCACGGTCCAGTCCTTAGAAGCCATTCCCTTGTTCTAATATGTTTTTTTTTGAACTCGTTGTTCTAAAATGTTTGCTAATAATTTAGATATAGTTCCTGTTGCCCTTGAATTTACCACGCTGCCCCCCTCTTCTTTCTTCTTCTCTCTTCTTTGCAACTCCAGGTAGCTGCCTCAGCTGTCGGCCACCACCCTCATCTCCTCCCCACTCATTTCTACTAAGCCCAACCCCGCCACCACTACCCCTAGATCTAGTCTCTTTTTATCCCACTCAACAATCTAGTCAATTCAAATCTCAACCATTAAAACGATCTAACCCCTCAAGCTCCTCCCTATCACGAGCCCCCTTCCCTTCCAGCAAAGAATTGTTGGGTACAAATCTTGCTTATGCTCGATGCTAGTGGAGTATGTGCAAGAGTGCAAGTGCAATATGTGCACAATGTAAATGTTACATGGGCTGGGTATGGTGGGTGCATAGTCAAAATCAATGGTCTAATGATTGGCTAAGGTCAGGAAATTTTTGCGAAAAGGACGAATTGGTTCTTAGGTCACTTTCATCTCTGATTCAATTTTAACTCCTTAGGCTAGAATTATGATATAACAGGACTATTATTTTTAAACTTAAGTTGACAGTTTTTTTCTTTTTAGGGCAAATTGCATATACTTCTCACGAGGTTTAGCTAAATTACAAATACTCCTGAGGTTTCGGAAATTATAGGTACCTCCTTGAGGTTTATATTTTCATAACAAATTATCCCCTGAGGTTTATATTTTCATAACAATTTACCGTCTAATTTGTTATGTAAATAGTACCTTCAGAGGAGTATCTATAATTTTTCAAATCTCAGAGGGTATCTGTAATTTTGCTAAACCTCGAGGGGTATATGTAATTTGCCCTTTTTAAATTTTTTTATTTTATTTTATGCTTTACCTTGAGTGTAATTTTATTCTTATTTTTTTATATAGTCAATTAGATAGTCAGAGGTTAATTTGCACTAATAACATTCAAAATTGCAAGTTTATTGTTTATATTTTAAAACATCATTGATCGCAACACATTCTACCATTTAAAATAAAAGAAAAACTAGCCCTCAAATATAGTACAAGTTTATTTCACTGAACAGGGGCGGAGGCACGTGAGCGCCAGAGGCGGCACGTGCCCCCTCAACTTTTGAAAAATTATTTTTTTGCTTCTAATAAAAATATATATTTCAATTTAATCTAAGTAATATCTTGAAATTTTTATATCACAATTTTCTTTACTTTTTTTATTAAAAAAAATGTTTAATTTATCACTTTAAATGTTTAATTATGCTATATTATAAATGTTTTATTACAAAAATTTAAATTATAAAATTTACTTTAAATCATTTAAAGTGAAATTTAAAGTAAATGTTTTATTAAAAAATTTAATTTAATCCAAGTAATATCACTTTAAAAAAATGTTTAATTTATCACTGATATTTTGTGACTATTTTATATCACCTCTTATACAACACATAATTATTACACAATTAATGACAACTAATAATATATTGCCATGTAATTCAATTATTCAAAACGGTGAAAAAAACAAGTAATATATAATATCTTATGTATATTATTTATTCATCTTTTTCTCATTTCTTTATCTATCCTCACTATATCTAGTGTGTGCATCTTAATATAATTTTGTTTTCGTATTTTATGAGAGTATATGTAATTATTTTTTAAACCATAATGATCGTCATATATAAAATAAATTAATAACAATAAAGATAATGATTAGTTAACTTGACCTTATATTTAAATATAACTTTTGCGTCGCATTAATTTTTAGTCCTATAATCAAATAAAAATTAAGTTAAATTATGATTTTTGTTAAGATTTTAATTCAAAGGTGCCCCTTCTGAGCCAAAATCGTGGCTCCGCCACTGTCACTGAAGTTATTTTTTTTTTTAACTATTTAATTTGAAAAAATGTAGTGACACATTTCTAAGTTGATATCAATAAAATAAAATTTTTTCCTGTATTTATACTTATTATTTTTTTTTATAATTTTTTTTAGCTCTATTAAGTTAAATTATGATTTTTGTTAAGATTTTAATTCAAAGGTGCCCCTTCTGAGCCAAAATCGTGGCTCCGCCACTGTCACTGAAGTTATTTTTTTTTTAACTATTTAATTTGAAAAAACGTAGTGACACGTTTCTAAGTTGATATCAATAAAATAAATTTTTTTCCTGTATTTATACTTCTTATTTTTTTTTATAATTTTTTTTAGCTCTATCAAATAAAGATAAAATAGTCAAATCATTAATAATTTTTTCGATGATCTTCTCTATTTCATTTTTAAAAAAAAAACTAGGGTGAAGATACATTTTTCCATTAGAACTAATGAATTTTATTATAACTTTTTGAAATATTTAGGACAAATTACACTAGAGGTCCTTATATTTTGTTTCTCATGTCATTTTGGTCCCTATATTTACAATTAGCTCAAATTTGACCCTTAATTTTAGATTTTGGGTTAAGTTGGTCCAATTGATAATATTTGTAGTGTTTTTTTATTTATTTATGAAAAATCATAACTGAATTAGTTGATATTAGCTCGTTGAATTCAGTAAGTTCATAATTTTGTCCTTAAAAATATGACACACGCCACTTATGTGCGTAATTTTTATAAAAAAATACTAAGAGTTGTAAATTGTAATCAATTGGATCAAATTAAGATAGTTATAAATTCAGTGTCAAAATCGAGTAAATTAAAATTGTAAGAATTAAAATGACACAAAAATCAAAATACATGAACCATCATAATTTACCCAAATATTTATTTTTGTTTTAATGTTGTGCATAGCATAATTTTTTGTTGGTATTTCTAAATTGAATGCTGGAAAATAATTGTCAAACTTTTTCTTAATTGTTTTGACTTTGAAATTGGCTCTCTTCTCTTCTACTCCATTTAATTTTTCTTTTTCAAAAAAAAAGAAAGAAAGATATTATGTGAGACAAAAAATTAAAAAAAAAGAAGAAAAAAAATTCACAAAAGAATTTAAAATGTGACTTTGGCATTTCACATTTAAAATTTTTAAGAGTTTGGAGAGCCCTTTGGAGGTGACAAGTGAGAGAGTAAAAATTTAGCTAAACCCTATTTTTATGTTTCTATTATTGATAAAATGTCAGAACTATAAACATAATGGAGAAAGAAGAGGAAGAATTTTTACTTACATAAATATTTGGGTAAAATATATCGATCTCTCTTAAGGTTTGAAATAAATATAAAAAGTTTCTTGATTTTAGTATAATTATAATGAACTCTATTTTAGTAAAGTTAAAGTGATAATGTCAAAATATAAAGATAATATATATATTTCAATTAAAATGAATAATAATTATATTTTTTTCATCCATATGAATAATGAATTACTAATGAAAATGGGATTAAATGTTAGATGCATTAAAATCTAAAAAGAGTTTCAATAAAATTATGCCAAACTTATGCATTTCATTATATTTCTCTAAATCTTAGAGGAGGCCAACATAATTTTTTAAAAATATTTTATGATACAAATATGGAATTTTTTGTCTTATTGATAGTAAAAGATTCCTATTACAAACACATGATTTATTATACAATTTTATGAGCAAGGATCCTCTAGAGTTTTTTTCTCCTAAAGTTTCCTAGAGTGGTGTGTTGTATGGTTGAGATTTAATGACAAGTCACATCAATTTTTCAGCATTAAATCTCACCCATACAACACACCACTTTAGGAAACTTTAGGAAAAAAAAACTCTAGAGGATCCTTGGTGCAATTTTATACCTCTTATTCATAGTTTACCACCTGAAGTGGGGTGACTCTCATTGTGAGCTGGCAGTGCAAAATAGTTTTTAAAAAAGAAAAGAAAATTAAGTCCACTTTTTGTGGGTGTATATAGTTTTAAGTCTAGTGATTAATTTGTTTTTATGGTAAGAGCACATTCAATGAAATATATTGGTGTGTAGTAAAAATTATTGTTTTGAAAGTTTTTTTAAAATTATTTTTTAACCTTTATATTGTTACACTCTGACAATTAGCGACCATTGCCAGTCACTGGTGAATTGTCGAGTGATTATTTACTAGAAGTTGATTGTCATATGGATAAATAGGTGGGGATGTAAAAACTATCGATAAAATTAAATTGATCGCTCAAATTCGACCAAAATTTCAATTTTTGATATATTTTTCATAACATACACTTTGTTTCAATCTTAAATTTTTTTACATTAATACAAACTAAAACAACCAATATATTATATTTTTGTACTTTTACATTTAATTATTTGAGTAGAAGATAAATAACCGATATATCACTCTTGTAATAACCGATATATTATATTTTTATAATTTTTATTTATTTATTTCTCAATTTTTTTAATAAAAATTCTTTAAAATCTTGTGTAAATTTCTCCTCTAGGCTAAATTATAAAACTGGCAAAACTGAATCATAACATATGTATTTTGTTAATTTTTCAATCATTAAAATTGAAATGTTCAATTCGGTGCCGAAATTTTCTTCAACATTGATCGAGTTGAACCATTTACACTCCTACATATAAATACGTAGTATGATTTTTTACATTATTGTTATCCTGGGGAGTTTAAAAAATAAATAAAATTGGAAGCAATCGCTAAAATAATTTTAAATTTAGACTTTCTAGATAGAGTTTGAAAAAGAAAAAAGAGAAAAAATTAGAAAAAAAGAAGAAAAAAAAATAGTGTGTAAAAATTATCAAATAGTGGTATTATAAAAAAATTATTATTTATAATAAAATTTATGAATTTAATTGTTAATGTTATTTCTAAATATTATTTCATAAAACAGTAATGATAGAAATCCCACAAAACACAACCCCTACAACTCTCAAAATAATCTAAACCATTAATATTATTGTCAGACACAACTCTAAAAAAAAATTCAAACACATCAATGGCCAATATATTAGTGAGAGTTATGAGTATCCTCTTTTGTGCGCTCCGAAACATTTTTCTTTATAAAGAAAGTGTGGGACCATTTTTTTAGTTGAATTTGTTTTTTGGAAACAATTTTAAATGAATAATTTTAGAAATCATAATATTTTATATAAATGTGTGACTCATGTATCCTATTTAAATCTTATACTCATGTATGGTAGTTAATAAATTTTTTAAAATGTTTAACATTTTTTATTTTAAAAGTCTAAGGCCAAGTTTGGGATATTGAGAAAAAATTAAAAAGTCGAAAAGTTACTTAAAAAGTTAAAACTATTCACCAAAAGACAATAATTACGGTTACACAATTCCCAATTCTAATTTTCTCTTATAAACCAATTTTTACAATTTTTTAATACATATTTTTTTTATAAAAAGTTAAAAAATTAATCCAAACATCTATATTTTTTTCTTCAATTTTTTAATTTAAAAAAACAAAAAGTACACTTTGAACACCCAAACAACCCCTAAATGGAGCTGAAATTTCTCCTACTAATATTATTTAAAAAAAAGCGTGGGACCATTTCCGTGACCACATTTTCTGCCCACGTGTCAGTTCCATGTTACCCGGTCATAACATCACAAACGTCCAAACACCTCGAAAAATCATCCGGTACCCCCATAGACATCACGTATCCAGACCACCAACCAATCACCAATTACCAAACCCAACTTTTTCTCCAATCACCACCATAATTCAGTAAAACCCTATCATTTCAACTAATCGAATTCAAGTTATAAACCACATAACCATACCTTACGCGTACTGAATAACTCCTCACCTCCTCACCCCTCCATCATCATCATCATCCCCCAACAGTATAAATTGCAATTCTTCTTACATTTCACAGCAAAAACACAATCATCACCATCACCACAGATCGAAATAGTAGAAGAAGAAAAGAACAGTCAAAAGAACCATTCGAAATGTCGAGCGATAGCGACATTGACGAAGACGAGCTCCTCCAGACCGCTCTCAAGGAGCAAGCGCAGCGCGATGTCAAGCCTTCCAGGCCCCATGCCAATTTCGTCCGCCCACCGCCTCCTCCACCTCCGGCCAAGCAGAGGGATGGACCGAGGAACCCTAGCTCGCAGTCGCAGATGAAGAAGGCTCAGCATCGGATGTCGATGGACGATGACGAGGACTCCGAGGTCGAGATGCTGAGTATTTCCTCCGGGGACGATGAACCTTCAAAGGACAGGGGGCTTGACTCGAGGAATCGGGGCAGGAGCGGTGGGAGGGATGATGATGCTGAATGGGATGGTGGGGAGCCTGATTGCTGGAAGCGAGTTGATGAGGCTGAGGTATCAATATATATATATATATATATGTTAGTGTATATTAGTGTATCATTATGTAGTGCATTATCATGTTAGTGTAGCATTATGTTAGTGCATTATGTTAGTGTAGCATTATGTTATTGTTCATAGGCATCCAAGGCATCCTCTATAAATAGAGTGCCTTCTTTGTGTAATAGACATGTACAATTCATAGAAACAATTGTGCCTCTCTCTCTCTCTCTCTCTCTCTATTCGCTCATCTCTATCTTCTCTCACTTTCTCCAATTATTATTTCAATATATATGCCTATATGGATTGCATAATTGAATATATTCAAGTTTAGTCATTTATTTATTATTATTTGTATATGAAATTACAATTGAGCAATGATTACAATTATAATGACGAAGATGACATACAACATATAAGATCAGACGCAGGTGGGGAGATTGGAATTGATGACTTGTGAGGTTCAGGAGTTTTGGCCAAGCGGACTAGCCTAGTTGGTTAATTTTATCTACTTAAAGCTAAATTAAAAGTTAAGAATATGCCAAATAAACTAGCTTATTTAAGCAACATTTTATTTGTGGGCTTTTATTTTAGCCAATGAGCAATGTTAAAAGCTGAGTTCCAAAGGAGAGGTGTAAGCGAGTCGAGTAGTAGGTTGTTTAGGTTTGTCTCAAAAAGCTTCCAAATGTGTTTTCAAGCTTGTATTATGTAGCTTTTGAACCAATCTCAAACCAGTTTATTGAAATGATCACGAGTTGAACTAGAGTAGCTTAGTTTTTTATAGTTCCTGTAATAAAACCGAGTCGAGCTGAGTATTAGTTTGAAAACTTAATGACCTTTAAAATGTGTTTGAGTTTTGGCTTGTTTATGTAACAAGCGGATCTCAATAACAAAAGTTAAACTTGAGTAGCTTAGTTGGTTTCATAGTCCTAAACTGAGTTGGTAGTTGAGTGTTTCATTGTGATTTTTGAAATATTGATAAGAGATATTTTTTAGTGGCAAGTAAGTGTGAATTTGGGTTCCAAGATAATCAGATTACTCAATTCAACTTAATTTGTGGAAGTCTTAGCTTCCAATTACTTGGGGATGATGAATTGAATTGTGACATTATGCAGATCTGCAATTTCGAATTGAAGTTAACTACACTTCAACTTTGTAGTTTCATCTCAATTCACTCATGAAAACAGGCAAAGATGATTCTATATGCATAGATTTTCATTCAACTCCACTATTATGTGAATAAGACAACTGCTATGTGTTTCTGACTTCTTGCCATAGTTCACTCAACAATATGCATCATTTGGAAAGTAGCGTTTTATTAGAATTGCATATCTGAAAAATTACGAATTCCAAGTTTATTATTTGTACATTAAGAGGGAGTAACCTTGACCGTCAGCTGAACCGAATATATCAGGTTGAACAGCCCTAAATGACATAAAGTCATATTTGTATTCATTGGGAAATCAGGGTATTAGAAGATTGAAGATTCAGGGGACCCATTTGAGCTGTTTGTGATGGTAGAATACATGCAATGAAGGGAGCCTTCTTGTCTAATGATCTGTTGGTACAAATGATCTCAGGTCAAATGAGCCCGAGCATCATTGGAAATTGACAAAAGGAGCTCAAGTTTGGCTAGGCTGTACTGACCTAAACCTGAACAACGGCAGCTCGGCTCAGAACATTTGCAACCCTAGCCGTGTACAATTCATGTGAACATTTGTTTAGGGCTGGTTTGGTTTATTTTTGTATTGTATGGTTGATTGTTGGAAGGGGAAATGGGTTAAGCTTGTAAAGTAGAGTTTTAACTTTTTAAGTGTGGAAGTGTTGCTTGATTAAAACTGGTTGTGGGCTTTAAAGACTTACAACTGCAGGAAATTAACCGTGCATAGTCAGTGAATCATTTATTCTTACACTTTGGAGTTGGCTAGGGTGCTTAGGGGCTTCCCTTTCTCCATTATTGGGGTTCACATTCACTAAATTATGCCCAGTTCAGTTTGCAGTTGGTTGGATTCTGGTATATGGGGTGTTGGCAAAAGGGGTCCGGCAAGGTTTGAATGCAAAGCTACTTCTCCAAAACATAAGTAGTTGGAGGGAAAGGAATAGGTGTATGGTTGAGATGGTTGAGAGGCTGGCCCTCTCTTTGAAGTGGATCATGCAGAAAGCCTGCCAGTTATGGATGATGGGAAAATTCCTGGAGTCTTTACTTTCTTCTGTTGATTTTATAGGGTATTTCTCCTTTAAAAACTGGAGCTTAGTGCAGAAAGTTAAAGAGAAGTAGAAGTAAAAAACAGAATATCTGCATCATGCCCATCTCATAGGCATCACACCTAGGGTTAGATTGTATCTTAAATCCTCAAAGAGTCTTTACTTTCTGTCGTTGATTTATTGGGTATTTCTCCTTTAAAAATCTGGAGCTTACTGCAGAAAGTTGAAGAGAAGTAGAAGGAAAAAAGAATAGATGCATCATGCCTATCTTGTAGGCATCACACTTAGGGTTAGATTGCATCACAAAGAGCTTAATTACTAGGAATCTATCTTTCCTGAAGGTGCTTTTTTTTCATTGCTTTTGAACTACATCACCATGTTAGTAAACAGTGGCCATTGGCTGGCAAATACAGATCTTGAACCAAAATTCGTTATTTTAATATTTACTCGATTTGAAATGATGACTCCTTAGTTACAATAGCATGCACCTTCTTGCAAAAACTAAACTTATTATGATATTGTTATGTGCCCTTTTACTTTTTGATTTTACTCTTATTTTTGGTTCCAATTTATGCAGAATTTTCTTAAGGTTGTATTATTGTGGTAGCTTGCTCGTAGGGTTCGTGAGATGCGGGAGACAAGAGCAGTTCCGGTGGCTCAAAAATTTGAGCGGAAGCCATCAGCAATTGCTAGAAAAGGTCTTAACCATTTGCAATCCTTTCCCCGTGGCATGGAATGTATAGATCCACTAGGACTGGGGTAAACTTCTCTTCTATTGCTAATTCTTGTTTTGCCATTCAGTCCTTGCCATAGAATGAAGTAAGTTGGGCAAACTGGGGTTTGCATTTTTCATTATGTTATTTTCGTTGGACTCTGCTTGCTGGCTGCTTCAGATATTTCTAGCTTGTTTTTTTTTAAAAAAAAAAAATTAATACTATTATTGTTGCCTGGAAAAATTCATCTGTGATCACTACATCACTTTAAAAATCCTGGGGATTTGGGGTTGAATGGTCACATTGGATTTGCAATTGTTTCGAAAAAATTAAGTTAACTTTCAGTGGAATTCCTACTTGCCATTTTTCTTTTCATGCTGGGAAAAGATTCATTATCTTTCATGGTAATAACAAGTATATGGTTTTCAAAGAAAACAATTATATGGTTTTCATTGTGAAAGAAGTATTGTGCTATTCCTGGCTTAGACTGAACTAGTGAAGTTAATTACTACTGTTGGGCTTGCTACGTGTTAAAACCTACCATCACCTACTACACTTACCACCACCTACTACCACCTACTACACACCTACCACTACCACCTACTCCACCTACTCCACTACATCTCCTATATAAGGAGCCCCTTACCATTTGTAATATATAACATATCATCAATCAATAATACATACAATTTATTTTCTCTCTATCAATTTATTTTACATGGTATCAGAGCAGGTTTAGAATCTAATAATTCTGCTTCACCGGCAGGCGGCAGCCTCGCCTTGACCGCCCGCCAGACCTCTACACATACCTTCACTATCGCTGTCATATTCATCACCCACCTTAGGAACTCCGGTATCCAAGTCCACCCCGGCTTGTTCAACGCCGAGTTTGCCCGAGCCGAAGCTGAGTTCGGCTTCGCATTCCCTCCTGACCTCAAAGCCGTACTCTCAGCAGGCTCTCCTGATCCGAGTCACAATCCTCGGCCTCGTCTACGTCCTCGCCTTCATCAGTCGTCTCTTCAGCGTCCTCCGCTACGAGAGCATGATCCACGAGTTCGATCCCTACTTCAATTACAGGACCACTCTGTTCCTGACCGAGACGGGCTTTTACGAGTTCTGGAACTGGTTCGATTCCGAGAGCTGGTACCCTCTAGGTCGCATCATCGGCGGCACTCTCTACCCGGGTCTCATGGTCACTGCCGCTCTAATCTACTGGGCTATCAAGTTCCTCTGATTCTCCGTCCACATCCGCGAGGTCCGTTGCTGGCTCTTATGCTAAGAGCATCACCCTCTGAAACCTCATTGATGTTTCCAACATCCTCGAGCTCTCTCTCTTCAAGGCCATGATAAATAAATAAATAAATAATAAGGGCAGCAGCGGCTGTCTCTCTTCTTCTTTTTATTTTTTTATTTTATTTAAACCAATCTCCACCACCAGCACCAAACATGCTCCTCTGCATACCCCAATAAACACACTGTTGATCACCCCGAATCTTCTTCTTTTTCTTTTATCTATTTCTTTTCATTTTTTAATTCCTTCTCCTCTTTTCACACTTTCAAGTCCAACTTTTGTCCCCCCTCTTTTTCTTTCTTTCTTTTTTCCTTTTCCTCACCCACGATTCTTTTCCTTACACTCTTGTTCCCCCACTTTCTTTTATATATATATATATATATTTTTTTTTTTTTATCCTACTCCCACTCTGTCCACTTTTGCATATAACCCATACTTTTTCTTTCCTCCTTCATATATTATTGTTATTATTATTATTATTATTCTTATTAACAAAAAAAAAAAAAAAAAAAAAAAAAAAAAAAAAAAAGATTCCGGTTAGTTCTACAAGGGTCCAGCAAGACTCCGTAAACTGTCACAACAATTATCTGCTACAACGGTCCGACATGACCCCATAAACTGTCTTCTACATCGGTCCGACACGAGCCAGTGTCTTCTACATCGGTCTGTGTTAAAATGTACCAAAACCTACCACTATCACCTACTTCACCCACTTAAAACACTTCCACTAAACCTAACCCACTACACCACTACCACCTCACCTACTCCACTAAACCTAACCCACTACACCACTACCACCTCCACTTCACCTACTCCTTACCTACTACACACTCACCCTCTTCTATATAGGAATCATGAATCATTGTAATATATATCAACATTACATCAATCAATAATACAATTCTCTTTATACTTTGAATTCAACATTTCTCTTTAACATTGAATTTCAACATGGTATCAGAGCTATAGGTTAAGCTCTTGGTGTTCTTCGCCTTTCGGCGGGCGGCAACCTTGCCTTAACCGCCCGCCAGACCTCAACCAATTGAAACCTCTTCCCTACTCCTCTCTGGTCCAACTTGTCGCCTCTCTTTCCTCTTCGTTTTTTCAAATTCTTTCCCACCCTGCAAAACTACCCAGATTACTCTGAAACAGAGAGACTTTTCAGGGATAATCACTTCTGGGTTTCGCAATGCAGACTAGAACAGTACAAGTAGGGAACGTTTCAGATCTAGCCAGTGAAAGAGAGATTCATGAGTTTTTCTCATTTTCTGGGGATATTGAACACATTGAGATCCCAGAGATACAGGGCAATCAAAGACAGCATTTGTTACATTCAAAGATCCAAAAGCCCTTGAAATTGCGGTTGCTGTTATCGGGAGCAACAATCGTGGACCAAAATTGTTAGTATAATTGCTGCTGAGAACTATGTTCCAAAAGATGATGTTAGGGAAGTAAGGATGGCAGACACTGTTGTGAGCCTGACTCCGGAAAATCTTTCACCAAGTTCTGAAGAAAAAATCTAGTTCTCCTAGCAACGGAAGAGTGTATGTAAGTAAAGCTCAAGTTGTTGTTTCCAGTATGCTAGCAAAAGGTTCAGCCATCAGCCAAGATGCCATGAAACAAGGCTAGAGCATTTGATGAGAAACACCGGTTGTCTGCCAGTACATCCGCCAAAGTCATCTCCTTTGATAGGAGAGTTGGTCTTACGGAGAAATTAACGGTTGGAATTTCAGTCGTGAATGAGAAAATGAAGTCAGTGGATCCAAAGCTTCAGATGTCAGATAAGACAACAGCAGCATTGATGGCGGCAGAGAGGAAACTTAATGACACGGGATCGGCTGTCAAATCAAGCAGGTATGGTGACTGCAGGATCAGCTTGGTTGAATGGTGCTTTCATAAAGTGGCAAAGGCTGGGCAGGTTGCGGGTACAAAAACAAGAGAGAAGTGGAATTTGGCTGTATCAAATTTGAGTGCAAAGGATCCTCCAATTGCTGTATAAACACGACATCCTCTCTCTTCATCTTGTACCCCACACTCTCTCTCCTCCGTTTGATTTCAAAATCCATTATTTTTATTTATTTTCTCCAAACCACTTTCCTTATTTCACCCATCTTTCATTTTGATTTCAAATATATTTTTATTATTCTTATTTATTTTTCTTTCACATTATTTTTATCTTTTTCAAATTCCATTCATACCATATAGCTTTGCACACCAAACCATCCTTTATTCATCTCAGGATCAACCCCGATCACAATTTTCACACACACACACAAAAAAAAAAAAAAAACCAACAACAACAACAAACCACCACACAACACCAAAAGCTTTGTTTTCTTTTCTGCAGTCGGCCACCCACCGACCTCACTTCTTCGCCTATTCCGCCGGTCTTTTCTTCTTGCCTCCGTCCTGGGCGGCCCTTGACGGTGTTGCCTCCGTGTTTCCCACTCCACTGGGCAACGTTCACTCCCCCCTGCTCCTCCACTACAGCATATGGCGGACCTCCAAATCGGAACATAACGGTGGCCTTCCGCTTCAGCTCCTTATTTTCCGCCTTTAG